TGTGATCGAGGGGACAACCAACCTTTTAGCTCATGCTACCTCCTACTATAAGGAATTGTTTGGCCCTGCTAGAGGAAACCTCTTTCATCTATCTCCTAATATGTGGGCTAAAAATGAGAAATTAACTGAGGATGATAATATTTTGCTCACTAGTAAATTCGTTGAGGAATAAGTGAAAAAAGCTCTTTTCGGCATGAAGAGCAACCGAGCCCCTGGCCCGAATAACATACCAGCGGAGGAGTTTTATAAACACTGCTGGGAATTTGTGAAAGAAGATATTATGCATTTGTTTGATGCTTTTCATAACAACACTTTAGATGTTGCTCGTTTGGATTATGGGGTTATAACTCTTATCCCGAGAGTGAATGGAGCCAAAAAAATCCAGCAATATAGACCAATCTGCCTCCTGCGGTGTCCATACAAACTTATCACCAAGGTTTTGGACAATAGAGCGACCATTTTTGCTGATATCCTCATCAGCAAGCATCAAAATGCCTTTGTAAAGCATAGAAACATTATGGATGGTATTTTGACCCTTCATGAAATCCTTCATCATACGTAGCGTAAGAAAAAAAATTGGTGTGGTGCTGAAACTCGATTTCGAAAAAGCCTACGATAAAATCAATTCGGATTTCCTTCTTGAGTGCCATAAACGCAGAGGGTTTGGCCCTGTGTGGTGTGGCTGGATCCAGAAAATCCTTAGGAATGGTACCATTAACATTAAATTGAATAACGAAAATGGCCCCCTATTTCCAGAGCTGCAAAGGAGTGCGACAAGGGGACCCGCACTCGCCTTTTTTGTTCAATATGGCTGTTGAAGCCCTATCTAAAATGATCCTTAATGCTCAGAAAGAGAAAATGCTGATAGGTCTGGCCCCGGACCTGATAAACGGGGGTGTAGCTATCCTCCAATATGCAGACGATACTGTCATTTTCTTTGAGCATGACAAAGAAGCTGCGGTCAATTTGAAACTCATGCTTTATATATTTGAGCTCATGTCGGGGCTTAAAATAAATTTCCTAAAGAGTGAAATCTTATGCATAGGGGGGGAATGATGACATACTTACCTTTTACTCTGAGCTCTTCAATTGCCAAATTGGTCACTTTCCTATGAAATACTTAGGGGTTCTTGTGAGTTATTCCACTCTTCGTGCATTAGATTGGAACTTTGTGGATGATAAATTCCTCAAATGTTGTGAATCATGGATTGGGAATGCAGCATCATCAGGGGGAAGACTGACCTTGCTCAATTCTTCCCTTACTAGCATCATATTTTACTACATGTCTATGTTTATGCTATCTAAGAAGGTTATTGAAAAATTAGATAAGCATAGAAAAAAGTTCTTTTGGCAAGAGACTGATGGCCGGAAAAGATATCACTTGGTCAAGTGGTCTAGAATATGTAGATCCAAAAACAAAGGGGGGCTGGGAGTTAAAGATCTGCATAGACAGAATATCAGTCTCCTCACCAAGTGGTGGTGGAAACTGGAAACCCAGCAAGGCCTCTCTGGCAGGAGGTAATTGATGCTAAATACTTCAGAAATGATACGGTCCCCTCGATGAAAAGTAAATTTGGAGATTCCCCCATATGGAAAGCTATTATGAAAGTAAAGGAAAAATATTTGGCAGGTAGAGAAGTGATATTAAACTCTGGGAATGTAGCCAGAATTTGGAATGATCCCATTAGAGGTGCTGCCCCTTGCGTGAGAAATTTCCAGCCTTATTCAACATTTGTAATTATCAGGAGATTACTGTTGCTGAATTTAAAAACTTTGAGGGTAATGGCCTTTTTAGAAGAAATCTTGATCCTCCCCTCACGGATCAGTGGAACGATCTGGTTGAGGTGGTTAATTCCTGGCATTTAGCTGATGAGGCTGATCAGATTAGCTGGGCTTTGGGTAAAAAAGGTAAATTCTTGACCAAATCGATGTACACCTATTTGGAAAGACCTCTGGCTGGATGTGACTATAGATGGATCTGGAAAGCAAAAATTCCCCTTAAAGTCCAAATTTTTCTTTGGCAAGTGTTCCAAGACGCGGTTCTGACTACAGAAGTCGTGAGAAGGCGTAACTGGGCAGGCAATCCTAAATGCTCGTTTTGTAATAATGTGGAAACTTCACAACACCTTTTCTTTACATGCCCTGTTGCTCGGGTGGTCTGGAGGACGGTCGGGTGTGTGTTGGGCACGTCTCTTTGTCGAACAACATCTGGCAGTACTTCTCCTGGTGTTACATTTTCCTTCCTGATGGAGCTAAATTCTACACCTCTGGTTTGGCAGCAGTTTGTTGGGCGATCTGGAACAGTCCTAACCAGGCTACTTTTGAACACAAAGATCTCAAAAGCCCTTTTAATGTGGTGTATGCTGCTTGTGGTTTTTTGATGTACTGGGCAGGTTTGATGGCTGGTGATGATCGGGAGGCCATGGAACGCGGAGCCAAGATGCTCAGGTCCAGTGCTTCGACGATGATGAGAATCTGCGTGGCTCCAACCAAATCAGCGACGAACTGATCCCCCTTCATACATTCGAGGCTTCGAGCTTTCTTCTGTCAGGATAGGCTACCTCACTCCTGCGCGAGTGCTCTGTTTGCTCGTTTGTGAGCCTGTGGGCATGGTGATATTATACTGTTTCAGGTTCCTTTTGGAAACTTCCTTTTGTTTAGGTCCTAGAGGTTTGCGTGATCACAGGTGTCGCTGGGTTTTCGCCCCGCAATGAGCTGCTCGATGACGAGTGCTCATGGTGGGTTTCCCAGTGGTGGCTTGAACTCGCCTTTCCCCTTTCTAGCTTCCTTATGTGGAGTGTGGCTTTTGGGTCTTTGGTTACTGAACTACGTATTTCCGTTATGCTTATAATGGAAAGGGGTTAAGGCCCGGTTCAAAAAAAAAACTAAGCAAAAAACCTGACGTGACATGTTAGTTGAGAAAAGAGAGAGTAGTACGATGATCTTAGAAAAAACGGTGCTAAGCACATGTACCTAGATGGAAGCAAATTCTAAGTCTACAACTAATTAAATTAAGCATCGAAAAATTTAGCACCTATACATTGGGGGAGGTCTTACCAGATGTGGCCGAACGAACGAAGTATGGCGCCCCGTGTCCGCCGCCACACCAGGCGGGCTGCCTGCTACCATCCTAAAAAAGCCTAAAAAAGAAAACATATGCACTTAATCTTTGCTTTGCTCATAAGTGTTCCTTTAGACACCTCATCAAACCACCGATGTAAGTATGAACACGCCAAAGATTAGGGATTAGAGGGATTATGGCCGATTGTACCCATGTGCTGCCCGAATAATTGTAACGACCTTCGCGCCCACCAGATCGATAATGCATGCATGCAAGAAAATGTGCCCCATGCATCAACAGGCAGTGCAGGGGCACGGCATGCAAGAAAATGTGCCCCATGCATCAACAGGCAGTGCAGGGGCACGGCATGCAAGAAAATGTGCCCCATGCATCAACAGGCAGTGCAGGGGCACGGCAGCTGGGACGGCACCACTATAAAACCGCGACATCTCCCGTGCTTCTTCTCACCACACACCACACAAGGCACTCCACTTTGTATGCTCATTTGATTCCAAGAAGCTCTAGTCCATAGCATCCACCATCACTACACCACGGTTCTTAATTGAAGGCATTTTTCTAAGGGCAGTTTGTAAATGCCTCAAATTCGCGCTCAAAGGTGGCGTTTTAGGAAAATGCCTCGGATTGATGCAGCTTTGGAGGCGTTCTAGAAAAGTGCCTCGGTTGATCCAGCTTTTGGAGGCACTTTTGGAAAGCGCCTTGGATTATTGCAGATTTGGAGGCGTTTTAGCAAAATGCCTTTGGATTGATGCAGCGCAGCAGGGCCGGCAGCGGCAAACTGGCCACATATTGCGGCCGATGCGGGTTGCCGTGCTGCTGCAGCGCGACCTTCAGTGTTCAAGCTTGCATGAGTCTCCCTCTCTTGGCCGTCATCGTCCAATCAGCCGCCGCCGATGAGCTACGTAATGATATTTTTGTTCGGGGGACATGCTAATCTGCAAATTCTTTTGGGAAATTTGATTCGCAACAATCAAACGACTCCAAGGCACCAGGGAATTGAAGAATCGTTCCCCTGTCTAAGGTGGCGTGAAGGTTCCTGGTGGAGATTGGGGACATTAGCGACGGTTGATGACGACAAAATCTTTAATATTTATGACGTAGGTTCCGTTGCAAATCGGAACTTCAGGCAGGTTCTAGTGGTCGTGAATCCTGTTACTGCCATTTAATTAATTTTTTTCCCGGCCGAGCTTTCCACACAACCGATCAATTTAGTCCCATACTGCTTAGCTAACAAGAGTTAGACGTGTTTAAAAGGAAGAAATGTGTGCACAGCTCCACAAGTACTTACACAGCCAGGCGAGATGATTTATCGCATAGATTCAAGCACTAACTATAGCGTACTATACAGTACAATATATGTATGTGCTTTCCAAAACTCGCCGCAAAATACAATTCCCTTCGCGACTATATACAGCGTCTTTCCAAAACGCCGTCTATTCTATGTGCGGGCGTTTTATGAGCCTTGTGAGACGTTTGAAAATGTCTCCTATTGTAGTACGTGCTGTAGTGCATGGCACGGCGTTTTCTGGCTGTGCTCGCCGTGGCCCTGGCGCTCTTGCAGGCCGCCTCGGCCAAGTCCTGGCTGGACAAGAGGTTCAACACGGACGGCACCGTCCGGACGGGGTACGAGGCCTCGGGCCAGGAGGTGGTGATGCTCAATCTCAACCAGCAATCCGGCGCCGCCGGCTTCAACTCCAAGGAGCAGTTTCTCTACGGTGAGTTCAGCATCCAGATGAAGCTCTCATCCCGGGAAACTCCGCCGGCACCGTCTCCTGCTTCTACGTAAGTCGACCAGCTTAATTAATTTCGTTAAGGACCAACATTAAACTCGCCCTATCGATCTTTATATTTTTAGCTGATCCTGCGTCGCTGTTAATTGCAGCTTTCTTCCGGTGACGACGAGTGGCGCGACGAGATTGACATGGAGTTCATGGGCAACTCCAGCGGCCACCCGGTGGTGCTCAACACCAACGTGTGGGCCAACGGCGACGGCAAGAAGGAGCACCAGTTCGACCTCTGGTTCGACCCCGCCGCTGACTACCACACCTATACCATCATCTGGAACCCGGAGAACATCCTCTTCAAAGTCGACAACCTCTTCATCCGCTCCTTCAAGCGCTTCGGCGGCCTCCCCTACCCTAGCTCCAAGCCCATGAGGCTGCACGCCACGCTGTGGGACGGCAGCTACTGGGCGACCGAGAAGGGCAAGATCCCGATCAACTGGTCCAACGCGCCCTTTGTCGTCTCCTACCGCAACTTCTACGCCAACGCCTGCGTCAGCGGCGGGGCGTGCCATGCCGGCAGCGACAGTTGGATGAAGAAGCAGCTCGACGGCGCCGAGTGGGGCATCGTCAAATGGGCGGAGCGCAGTTACATGCGCTACAGCTACTGCGACGATGGGTACAGGTTCCCGCAGGGGCTCCCCGCAGAGTGCAGCCGCTACTGATCCCAGCCGGACCGGCCGGGCATCCGGTGTTGATATTGACATCTTTTTCTTGGAAGCGTACACTATTCTTGTTTTCTTTGTGAATTTGTGATTAAAAAGCAGCCCTACATCAATGTGTGGGCGATTGTTTGTATACTAGTATTTTTTTTCCTTCAGAAAAGAAGCATGTAAATTTCACCGTGCCTTTGAATCGATACAGCAATACAGTACATTTATGAGCTATGGTCGAAAATTTTGTTTTGGTGTCACTGAGCAAAGAACTTCAAAAGAATGACATATACTCCGCCTTACCGGTAGTGCTAGATATATCCGTTTGAGTGACAAATAATTCCAGACGCAGAGTATATAGTTAATGAACTCCCAGATAAACCTAATCCTATATCATTATGCGCTTTTTATTCACAAGCATTATATATATACTCAGGAAAATTCGGGCATCGACGGCTCAACAGTGTATTACCGTAGAATGCAATGCATGTGCATATAGTGCTGCGCGGCAAAGCATGTTCGGCCAATCAGTATTGATATATATATGGACACGTACGTTTGCTTGTCCAAGAAGACAAGAGCACCTGTATCAATGTATATCATGCATGCATACGCGCTACTACATCTTTATACCCGACTGTGCCAGCAGCCACAATAATGCATATCTATCCTTCTCCGGCACCGCGTGTATGGTCGGTTTACATATATACTTTTGTGTTGTCCTCCACTGATAATATCGTTCGCTGGTGTTTTTGATATACACTATTAGGAAAAGGCCTACAAGTGGCACATCTGTTTTCGCTACTAAAGGCGCACTACAGGTGCGCCACTAATACCACATCATTAGTATTTTTTGCTAATGGCGCATTACATGTGCGTCATTAGTATATGGTATACTAATGGCGCACCACGCAGTTCGTCATTAGTATAGCCCACGGTGCGCTATTAGTATGCCTTTCATGGGGCATATTTATCCATTTGCTTTGGCATACTAATGGCGCACTGGTGGATGATGCGCCATTAGTGTGCTCTGGCTTACTAATGGCGTACTATGTGATGATGCGTCACTAGTATGAATATTAGGCATTATTTTTTTCCTTTTCTGATATGTTCATAGGTTACAAAATATATTATTGGACAGAATTTAGACAACACCACACAGCAACAGCAGATTCATCGAATACAATAGAAGATTAGTCTCCGAATACAATTCATCATATTAGTCTCCGAATTCAAAAGACCGAACAAAGATAGAACATTACAAGTCTCGAGACCGCGAGTAGCGAGTTTGTAGGAAGTAATACTAATCCTAACAAGTCCTACTAATCATCATCATACAACTTCTACTCGTTATTAATAACAAGTCATACGATCATCATCTTGATAGTCATCGAACCAACCCTACTTAATTGTTCTTAGCACATGATCATCAGTATTAGGCAGGACCTAAATACCCTATTTAAGGTAAAATAGCATAAAACAATATAGACCTTGACTCTCCATTATGGAGAATGGAGATAATCCTGTCTCCAATTCTTGCGGTTCGCTTCCTTTTGCTTCCAAGAACCTCCTTACGACTGTCCATATATTTTTTCCATCCTTTAATTTTCATGTCTCCACTTCTTTTAGAAATCTCGTATGGACAGTTGAGATTCGTAGGATGACCTGGCTGTATGTTCAAAATATTAAGACTACCTTTCTGATACATCAAATGAGGCACACAATTCTCTGGGATTATCTGTTGAAAAACATAGTAATAACTTCATAGTTAGCAATGATGTACTAGTTTTAGAAGTATGCAAAAGATGCACGGATATCGTAATAGTAAAAAATCTTATCAAGGTATCTCCATGGTAGTTACCGTAGTTGAACACATGCACTAGTGGCACGTATTGACCATAATGTTGAGGAGTTTGATTGTAGATATTGTAATTCTCAATGTCAGTACAAAATCCGACTAGAGATTTTTCTCCTTGTAAGTTGTTAATTCAGAGCCATCGGTGTAGTGGGTTTTGTCTACCATCTCCCGCACATTCTTTGAACAATAAAAATAAGCTGTCAATGGAAATAAGCTGTCAACTATTTTGAAATGAACAATATAAATTAGCTAATAACTATGTTTGAGAAACTCACATAGCGGTAGAATTGGAGGCGTATCAACAAGGACCCAAATGTCCATATTGTCTTGCTCGATTTTAGGATCACCAAGATCCATGTTGACAAGCATACCCTCATCAAAAACATACATCTTGCAAAATGCTTCCCAATTTTTGCAACCAAAATGGGTTACGCTCCCAGAATTATACAGATTTACTTCAAAGTCCACATCGTGATGAGTCCTTCGGTGAATTTTTTTTGTTTCAGAAATTTCATGGTCTTCAAAATCCATCCTCTCCAAGACACAGCGTCTTGCATGGCATGCGATAAGCTATACTCGAATTGTAAAAGATGAAAATTACACGTTGAAATAGTTGAAGTCATGCTTAATTATGAAAATAACACTTGTCGTCGTTGCGTATCATTTCAACTTCGAAGGTCTCCTCGAGCTTAATGCTGAAGCGCCGATCATCGTCGAGGTGAGGCATGTCGCACAGACCTCGATCGTCGTGGCACCAGCCGCACTCCCCCGGGAGACTTGCGTCGTCCGATGACGACATATCCTATGTTCATAATTCAAAACTACATAGGATGAGTGGTTCCTCTTCCAGATTGGGGTTTATCGATGACGAGCAACTGACATTAGTAATAACTAAGAGTTGATATCACACTTCTATATGTATAACACAAGAGGCAGTTGATCCTACTTAATTAAGTACTAAGATACCCCGGGCCATGCATTTGTCGCAAGTAGCCCATATGTCCTATTTTTAGCAAAGTCATGCTAAAATTCACGACAAATTTCATCATGACCTTTGCTGAAAATAGGACATATGGAGTACCCGAATATGCCGGAACGGAAGTTAATCGACATTCCGGCAAACTCAAGGGCCTCTCGGGGTACCTGCAAAATCATCACCGCACGATGGTCAGAGACAAAACCCAGCAAACTCCTTCCCTTCACTCGGGGTGCAGCAATATATCTTCTAGCCATGAAAAATAATACCAACTAGGATCGGTATGACCTTCGTTTTTCATTTTTTGTATGATCAATTAAATCTTCTGCAAGCTTATATGAAAAGGTTCAGCAACATGAAACGTAACTCTTGCTTGGTGTTCCAAATCATTTCATTTATATTTTAAATAACAATAGGAATTATTTCATAATAGAATTTACCCCAAAAACAAATTCCTTTAATGCCATTTTCAAACTCTGAGTTGCCTCTGTTGCACTAAAACTAATTCAAATAATTTTTAAAAAATTGCCATAAATTTTTTGGGAGACCCTATAATTCCTATAAATCATTTTTGAACAAAGACCCATCCTACTCTTTTGAAATTTTTGAGAGAAACACCCACTTTTCCATTCTGATCCATTTTCAGTTTACAACTACAACCCTATTTCCCCTAGCTCCTAAAAATCTAAAAAATTATCCCAACACAAGAACAGTACCTACACTCCTTTTTCCCAAACATCTCCTGATCACAAGTTCTAAATTTTCAATAGGCCACATGGATTTGCTGAATCAGCATAAACCTTTCAAGTACCAAAAATGCAGCATTTTCTTGGCATGACCAAGCTACTTCACGGTAATTCATATTTTAAGAATTGTCACATTTCATATATTGGCTTTTTCAAAACAAAAAAAGTATCTATGGGGGCTGCAACTGCATGTTGTGTATCAATGTACCTTATATATATCACGAATCTAAACTAGACAAACACGAATCTAAACTGAACAATTAATAGGTTGCAAGAATATATAAAATCTGAACATTACTCAATTCTGAACAGTACACTTCTCAAATTCATAGAAATTTCACAGAGAGAGAGGGAGACAGCAAGGATTCAGATTCAGAGAAGTGCAGCGGGAGGGAAGTGGAGAGGAGGAGCAGCAACAGTTTTGAGGTTTCAGAGAAGAGCAGCGGCAAGACGTTGAGAGGAGGAGCAGCAGGAGTAAAGCAAGAGGGAGGAGCAGCAACAAGGAGAGGGCGAGCGCGACTGTGGGAGGCAACACGCAAGTGCGTGTGTGCGCGGGCGCGGCCGACTGCAGCGACAGCGCAGCAGCGAGGCAACGCAGGAGCTTGACGACGGCGGCTACGGTGACGAACCTGACGGGGGAAGGGGGAAATCGGTCAAGGGCCTCACCGAGGTGCTCGACGATGATCTCGGGAGGTCAGGGGTGGCCGGGGTGGAGCGATGTGACGAGATGGACGAGGGAGGACGAGGTTGGGGAAGACGACGATGGCGATGATACGGTGCAGCTCCGGTCGATTGAGAACCCGTAGATGAAGAAGCAGTCGACAGCGGTCCTCCTGGACGTCTCCGTGCAGCGCGGGGTGACTGGTGGCGGCGCAGTGGGTCGGGGCGGCGGCCGAGCAGCAGGTCGAGGGCTCGGGGGATTGGGGATTGGGCTCGGGGAGGAGGCGGCCCTCGAGGGGAAAGGGATAGAGGGGGGAAGGTTAGCGATGGCGCACCCCCGAGCGGTGCGCCATAAGTAACCTTTTTTTAGGTAGCAATGGCGCACCACCCAGAGGTGCGCCATAAGTAACTTTTTTTGCATAGCAATGGTGCACCAGCCAGAGGTGCGTGAGAGAGTCCTGGATTAGGGGGTCTCCAGACAGCCGGACTATCTCCATTGGCCGGACTGTTAGACTATGAAGATACAAGATTGAAGACTTTGTCTCGTGTCCGGATGGGACTCTACTTGGCGTGGAAGGCAAGCTAGGCAATACGTATATGGATATCTCCTCCTTTGTAACTGACTTGTGTAACCCTAACCCTCTCCGGTGTCTATATAAACCGAAGGGTTTTAGTCCGTAGGACAACAATCACAACATACAATCATACCATAGGCTAGCTTCTAGGGTTTAGCCTCTCTGATCTCGTGGTAGATCTACTCTTGTAACACCCA